CTATCAAAACGCCTGCCATTTGATATAAATAAATTTTCTCAATGGGGGTGTGCGATCGACTTAAGCTCCTCGAGGTGCACCTTGGGCAGCGCGTATACTCGCAGAGCGGTAAAAGTATATAAACTGGCAGTTGACTTCTGACTTCGAACCATCATGGCCCCACTGTATGTCATATTCGACCACTTCTACAGTACTCATCTTACCTTTTTTCTACCTTTGTGTCTGTCTGTCTTATTTTTTTGCATCTGTGAATCACTCTTCTGTTCCCCCTCTAGAATTTTTCCCACTTTGATGTTCCTCCTCCCCTCTGTGAAGCCATTTTCCCACTTTGATGTTCCTCCTCCCCTCTGTGAAGCCCAAAGTCAACTAAAGGCCTAAAGGCAACTATTATAAATCTTGCCACTTGATATAAAATAAATAAATAAATTAACATGTCATATTTAAATCCACTGAGTAGTCTCTCGACGATTGGCCGCATCTGGCATCTTAACTATTAATGTAGACAAAAGCTGCCAGTAATAAACTGTCAATTGCAAAGGATTCTACATTCCATTAAATATTTTTTTCAAAAAGAAAATATAGTTATTAACCACAAACATTTTAGAAGTAGGCTTGCAAGTATGATGCACACAGAGTGAAACAATCACAGAAGGTTGTATTAGGCCATACCTTCAACGTCATAGAACACACACACACGCACACGAAGCGAGTCATCTAATTTCCATCTTTCATCCAGCTAATAGAAGTTATCTCCTTCCTTGTTCGAATGATGGGGACCTGGTAAAATCTACCAACGCTTCTTCTTGCTAACAGTGCTGGAATAGCCACACCTCTCCAGTCTAATTCAACAGCAGCGGAAGCAAGACCTCCAAGCAACAACAACAACAGCGGAAGCAGAAAGCAATCATACTAGATCTCAGCGACGGAACTATGAAGCAATCAAACGGTAAGTCAAGAACGAAGCGACAGAAGTGAACAATATCAATACTGAAATGGTAATGGCCATTAAAAAAAGGTATTAAAGATACCTTCAATTAACCCTTGACTATATACTAGGTATAATATTTTTGGGGAGGGTTTAAGAATGGCATTATAACTTACAATTTGCTTCCTATGTGACTGATGAATCTTCTGTTGGCTTTGATTGTGATGGGGCAGTGTTTTGAGCATTTCCTCAAAAAATGGAAGTGCAGGTGGAATTTGAACTTGTCCCTGGGATTCCAGACGAAGCTGCTCTTTGAAAGCCTCCATCATGGCATCGGAAGATTGAAAGACTTCAGAAAGGAGATTTTCTGGGGAAAGCTAAGAGAGCAAAAAAAATGGGGGGAGTGCAATCGGAGCAATTCTCAGGTTGTTTTGAAGAAATCGGATTCTACATCACTTTTCTTGGTAACCAGTTATATTAATTTTCCATAAAGTAAGAAAAACAATTAACTTTAAAAACCATGATAATGGTATAAGCTCCTGAAAAAACACCTCACTCGATTATGGGAATACGGACTACTACGAGACATTTTGAGGACCAAATAAGATTTCCATTTATGAACACAATTTCAAGGCAAACCATAGAACGAAAGGGAGCAACAAGGAGCCTTCATATGATGATAATTCATTTCTGCCATCTCTTCGGTACTATTCCGCTTAAAGGATAAGCACTGACTACCAAACTAGCCGCTATGTTGACTTGGGCAGACATCTAACCATCCAATAACATTGTGCCATAACCCGATTTCCTATCTTAGATTGGTCATTTGAAAGAAGTAAACGATCAAGATTAAGCTCAACAAAACTAAAACTTAAAATAAAATTATCACTATGTCAACTAATTAGCTTTATTCCTGCATTCTATTCCATTATTCTCAATTTCCAGCAGGGCTGATAAAAGCCCAGGCACTTTGTCTACCAAGAGGTGTGCGATAGACTTACCTCCACGTGGTGCACCCTGGGCAGCGTATACTCATGCGCAAAAAAGTCGATTAACCGGCAGTTGACTTCTCACTTCAAACTATCATTACTCCATTGTATGTCATATTGCACCACTTCCACAGAACTCACCTCATTTTTTCTACCTTCATCTTTGAAACACTCTTCTGCCCCCACCCCTCCTCTCGACATTTTTCACTTTGATGTTCCTTTCCCTCTGTGAAGCCTGAAGTCAACTAAAGGGCTAATGATAGCCATCAAACGATAACAATCAAAACGCCTGCCATTTGATATAATAATAATTACCTCTGTGAAGCCCGAAGTCAATTAAAGGGCTAATGATAGGTGAATCGCTCTTCTTTCCTCCCTATCATTTCTTCGCACTTTAATGCTCCTACCTTCTGTGAAGCCCGAAGTCAGCTAAATGGCTAATGATAGCTGTCCTGTGAAGCCTGAAGTCAACTAAAGGGCTAATGATAGCCACCAGAACGCCTGTCATTTGATATAAATAAATAAATATCGTTGTCTACCAATCATCAAAAATTAATCTTACATTTTATAACTCATAGTGTAATGCTTTAACCGAAGTCATCTCTACAATATGACCTGATTCTACTTGCTAAATATGAATAGATGAAAAACCGACCCTTAACAGAGGACATTATGGACACGCAATCATTATAAAAGTAAACATACATTACAGAACAAACTCGTACACAAGAACTTACCGGGGCTTTATCAAGAGCTGAGGAAACACGATTAGAAATTTCGATTGTTTTAGAATATCTTGAAGAGTCAAATGGAGGTGGGGAAAGGAAATTCAGATTAGGCCTTCGATCAAGATTCACGAAGAGGAGGGCAGTTAGGATTTTCTCCAGGGAGCCCTTTCCTCTTGGATATCTCAAAAGACCGTCGTACACATTTATTCCCTAGAAAATCAATATTCCGAATTATTTGGATATACTTACATGTTTTTCAGCCAAAGCGATCACATCGTAGATTTTTCCTTCGATAAAAGCGTGAAATAGACGTTCTTCTGTAGATACTTTCAGTTGAAAAGCTTTTGAAAACTGCTTTCCTTTTAGCGAACGCTGAAGTAATCCTCCCAGACATGCGAGAGGCGCAATACACATTTTAAATGTAGGTGTTATTCCATCTTCTTGAATCCATGACAAAGTACGTTCAATTGAATTCCAGTCATCCTTCAAGCATGTATTAAACAATTATGCATATAAAATACCTTAGAGGCGAAATACCGAAATAGAAGCTCATAAACTTCATCAGAAATTATAAGGTTGCCCTTTTCTAAATTCCTTTCTACGCGAGCTTCTTTTCTTCGAGTATTCAAAGTTTTTAGCATTTGAAATTTCTAAAAAATAAAGCCACTAATGAGCTGAAATGAAGCTTACTTCAGCTGTCTGGAGACACGCATCTGTATAGGCAGCAAATGAATCATTTTTTAGGTATATTTCTGCGAGAATTTTGCTAAGTTCTGTACAGTTTTTATCATGGGATGATAACAAACTGTCTTCCGACTCGGGAAAATTGAGAGTAAGAAACTGCTGATATTTAAATATAAGCTTTAGTTGCGATGGAAAAAGACGGATCCGTGGCACGGCATTTATTTGTTTCAGAAGACACGCGGCAGAAATATAATCCTTTTTGCGTTTGGAGTAGCTTTTGGTCACTTCCTTTGAAAGGGCATAATTTACAGAACCTTTGACAGATTATAAATTACAAAGAACCTACCATAGCCACGGCTGTTGCAAAAGGTAAAAACTTTAGACATGGGCTTGTGCATGTACCATATGACCAAACGCCTGAGAATGTGTATTCGAGTTAAATTTTAATTCACAATCCTTGAGAAAAATTTTCTAGGTCGTTATAAAAAGATTAGTATCCTCATATTCTATAGCAATAATTTGAGATATTTTAATATATTTAGACTCAATGATGCAATAACGTCGTCCCATTTAAATAAATAAGCACTTTGTTGTTTCTTATTTTAAAGTATTCTATTTTTATTTTAATGACGCTTTACATTATGGAACAATTCTAATGCTTTAGTAATATTTAAAATTAACATTTAACGTTCAAGCTATGACAATGTTTGACAATAAAATGAATGAAACGCATATGTTAACGGACGTTTGAATTTCATGATAACGAAAACGAATTGGATTTAAAGATAATTTCAGAACCTCAGGCATCCCTTTGGTAATTTAGTTCCCATTTCGCCTTTTGTAAATCCTACATTTATTTAGACATTCGGCCCTTTCGGGCATAGGGAAGTGGCAAGTGATTCAGCTTATTGATTTTGGTTCTTACTGGCGTTCAGATGCGATTAAAGATTATAAAACGAAAGTGGAAATTTAATTTACGTCGTTTAATACATTCATATCTACATGTAAAAACGGTATTGAGTGACTGATATTTGCTGAAAATGTGGCTTTCGCCGTTATCCCATTGTTAAAATATTATAAAGTTTTTTGACACAGTTCAATTTCATTTTTATATTGATTCTTAAGCAGAAAACTCGAATCAAAGTCCTATTTAAACGATGTACTACCCTAATTCAAACCACATGCAAACATTAATTTGCTCAAGATGTATGCATACTGCAGGTTTCCATACTTCAATTTTCCTAAATCAATTCTGAAAATAAAAAAAGGCATTTTGGGTGATAATTAAAACTCTAATACTTTCAAATATATTTTAATATCTTAAAATCATATCATCAAAAGAAGAATAAATTGTTGCATATAGTGGTTTGCAAAGGCAGAATAATTACAAATTATGAAAATTCTTTATGTTGCTAAAGTATTCATTCTTTATTGCAAAATATTAACTGACAAGGCAGTTTTAAAATTATAAGAGTTCAAAACATTACAGAAATTGTCCCAAAGTTATTTTCTAATGCCTACTATTTCATTATTGGAATTTAATGGAATTTAATAAATTTCGTTCATTCATCAACAAGCTCTACTGAATGGCATAATCTATTGGCTGTGTGGTAAAGAGAGTTAGAATTTTAATTCATGTAGAAGTAATCATTTGATGCAACGAAGTTTAGCTTGTAAATTGCTTTGTATTTCCATTGGAAGATATGACAAAAATGTTAAATTAATAGCTCATTCTATGAAATTATAAATTGAAAATGCAAAAGTTTTGAAATTAAGCCCTTAACTAATCAGAAAATTGTTGTATTTATTAATTTAAATTGATCACCTGGAAGCTGCACTTTGTTTGAAACGTCACTTTTTCGACGTCTGCTGTGCTCGAATATGTGGTAGGTCCAATGTTGCGTAATTAGAAATATTTTAGTGAAAATGTTAACGATAATGGTGAAATTGAAACTAATTACTACGAAGTGGTTGAAAGTTTCGATGATCTTGGTTTAAAGGACGATGTATTGCGTGGCATTTATCAATATGGTTTTGAGCGGCCATCTGCTATCCAACAACGGGCAATTTTGCCCTGCCTTCAGGGTCGGGATATAATCGCCCAAGCGCAGTCGGGAACGGGAAAAACAGCCACATTTACCATTAGCATTTTAGAAAAAATTGTACCCTCTCTTAACAAGTGTCAGGCTTTAGTTCTCGCACCAACGCGTGAATTAGCCAAGCAAATTCAATCCGTAAGTGCCCTATTAGTTTAAATTTCTCTAGGTAATCCAAAAAATTGGCCACCTTTTGAAAATAAACTGCCATCTCTGCATTGGTGGAACGATCATGTCGGATGATATTAGTGAACTTTGCAAAGGAGCACAGGTTGTTGTTGGCACTCCTGGCCGTGTATTAGACATGATGAACAGGAGGTTCCTCTGCACGGATTATATTAAAATGTTTGTACTCGACGAGGCTGACGAAATGCTTTCCCGTGGCTTTGAAGTTCAAATCAAAGAGATTTTTGGTCATCTACCCGAATCGTCTCAAATTATTCTTCTCTCTGCTACAATGCCACCTGAAATCTTTGACATCATCAATCAAATGATCAAGGATCCAGTCAAAATCCTAGTAAAGAAAGAGGATCTTACATTGGATGGTATCCGTCAATTCTTCATCAATGTCCACTCTGAACAATACAAATTGGACACGTTGATTGATCTGTACAAGATTGTTGATCTCGGTCAAGTTGTCATTTTCGTCAATACCGTCAAAAAGGCAACTTGCCTAGCTGAAGATCTTGTTGCAAAAGACTTCCAAGTTTCATGTATTGTAAGTTCTTTTCTACTTGTATTATTTCCACATTTAGCATGGTGACATGCCGCAATCTGAACGTGATGCTATCATGAACCAATTCCGTGGTGGCTCTACCCGTGTTCTTATCTCTACTGATATTCTTGCTCGTGGTATTGATGTCCAGCAAGTTTCCCTTGTCATTAACTACGATGTCCCAACCCGTCGTGAAGTGTATATTCACAGGTTTGTTATTCATTAGTCCTTTTAATCTACTGCTTTTAGAATCGGTCGTTCTGGTCGTTTTGGACGTAAAGGTGTTGCAATTAACTTCGTTACAGAAGACGATAAGGCTACCATTGACCAATTGACTAAGTATTACAGTACTTCCATTATAGAGATGCCGGACAATATTATGGATCTTCTGTAATTTATCACATTGGATTTAACAGATAAAAGTATGATGAATTACTTGGTTCAAACCTTATGTCGTAAATACTTCTTGCTACTAAAAGTTCGTGCGGTTAAATTATTCTTGGTTATAGCTATGTTTTGGCTGATTTGTATTTCATGCTGATGTTTTGCTTCGTGCTTATACTGTTGCCTCGAGTAATTACAAGCAAATCTAAAAATAGTATTATTTTCTGATTGCGTGGAATTAGAATGTTTGTGAAGTAATGGAATAAAATATTGCTTAGTCTACGTAAGTAATTATTTCGTTTTATTCAAGTAAACGTAGGTTACTCTAAGGAAGTTGGTGGTACTTATGTGATTTATATTCACAAGTGGTTTGATTTTAATGCTTGAAATTAGTAAAATGCAAATTAGGATATATATATAATCAAGGAAAAAGTAACTAGGTTCCTGAAACAGCAAGGCAATCTAAGAATAAGGTGTGCGGGTTAGGGGGTTTTTGCATTGTGCATTTCTCACGTTAAGCCGTTAGTGGTTGTGGGTTGATTTGGCATTCTAATTTAGATTGAATTAATATCAAATCATGGGTATGGTATGCTTACGGATGAAAAGGCCAAGGTATTGCGTTTCTAACTATCTACCATTATCGGGTAGTTCTTCGGTCATAGGTCATAAGTTCAATTTCCATCCACGCATGTCTTTTGACCTGGTTGTCCATTTAACTATCTGATCGGGTGTGACAAGATTATCTTCTCAAGGAAGGTCTTTCATTTCTCTCTATTCAATGGAATTGCAAAGCTTTCCTATTTGGGATTGTGAGTCGCTTTTCTAGCATTCTTTACCAAGGTGACAAATGGTATATTAGGAACGAGTTAAACTGCGAATGGTTTCGGGAAAGCTGAGGTGAACTCATTTCAGCCTGGAAATCACATATCATTCATCAATTGGTGGCAACAGATTTGGGGTTGCTTCTTTATCAGGGGCTTCAGGTGGCGCCCTTTTCAATGATCCTCGATAGCGAGATTGTGAAGCGGCTTCCTTTCAGGATGTCTAGGAGTTTGATGCTCGAGGAAATCAGTTTTACAAATTCAGGGGTAGTCCAATGTGGGGGGAGTCATTTGTATCTCGAAAACAAAGTTCAAATTCAAGGTGACATAAGAAACCGTTTGGAATGTTAGCAGAAACTAAATTGATCATCTTTCATTGCCATTTGGTTGAAGTCTTCTTCCCAGCTAAGAGGAAAAACAATAATCTCGCATTCCTTGAACAACTTCTGCTGTATCTATCTCACCCTGTTCAAATGGAATAATCTGTTGGCAAATTTGGCGTTCTTTGTTGATGACCGGCTGATAACCCGTGTAGAGGCATGAACCGGTTGGTACATAATACATTGGGGAGGTAGAACAATTGCGCCAACGCCACCTTTATCCCAGGATTCTTCACTAGGTTAGAGACGATGAGCCAGAATGGCGCACAATCGACTATCACTTCGGAAAGACCTTAAAGTGCCAAAGTGATTTAAAAAATGCAAATATGAAATCTTTCAGCTGTTAACAACGAAGTGTTCACATATTTCCATCTCTACTCTATCTTAGCCATCCATTGGATTGGCCTAAAATAACTTTTGATTGCGAGCCAAGCTACTTTTGTAATCTGATTGAGTTGCCTCCTTTAATATCGAAAAGAGGTCAGCGGTATGCGCCCGATGATTGGGAATGGAGATGGGAGGAGGAAAAAAGATTGTAGGAAGGAGAGTTCGAATACATGTGCAAGTTGTGCGAGTTAAATTTTACCTCCTTTGTAAATTACTTCGTAACTGTAGGGTGTGGGATAGACTTACCTCCACGCGGAGCACCCTGGGCAACGTATATTCATACGACAAAAAAGTCTATAAACTGACAGTTGACTTCTCACCTCAAACAACCATCAGCCCCACTGTATGTCATAATCGACTACTTTCACAGTACTCATCTTACCCTTTCTGAGCCTTTGTGTCTGTCTGTTTCTTTTACATCTATGAATCACTCTCTATTCTCCCTACCTAATTCTTCTCACTTTGATGTACCTCCTCCCCTCTGCAAAGCCCGAAGTCAGCTAAAGAGCTAATGATAATTATCAAAACGCCTGCCATTTGTTATAAAAATAAAACGTCGTAACTGTCTAGACTGAGCCAGCCTATGAGTCATCATGTGCTGAAGATGTTTCGCTCCGAAATGTTTTCCTACTGATATTTTTTCGGGGAGTATTGCTTTAATTCGCTTTGGTGTAAAAACTCATACTTAACTTTTACGCGCTTGCCTGAACTATTTTCGACATACGCTATTGGAGGATTGCTAATTAGTGATTCTACTCGTCAAATCCAATAACACGTCGAGTAGAGGACGCTAGATAATCTCCCGCCCTTTTCCTCATTTTTCGGCTCATTCTCCGTTCTTTTCTTCTCTGCTATACTGTGCTCAACCCCCCCCCTCCCCCCCCCCGCTTTCTCGAGTTGCCATTGTCTTCGCACAATATTATTCGCTTTACTCACAACACTAGTCCTTCCAATATTTATTTATATCAAATGGCAGGCGTTTTGATAGTTATCATTAGTTCTTTAGTTTACTTAAGGGTTCACATAGGGAAGGAACATCAAAGTGAAAAAAGTCGAGAGGGGGGGAACAGAAGAGTAATTACAGGTGTAAAGTGACAGACACAAAGATGGAATAAGATGAGGTGAGTACTGTGAAAGTGGTGGAATATGTTATACAATGGGGTGTTGGTAGTTAGAAGCCAGAAGTCAACTGCTAGTTAATTGACTTTTTTGCTGTATGAGTATACGTTGCCCAGGGTGNTTCGCACAATATTATTCGCTTTACTCACAACACTAGTCCTTCCAATATTTATTTATATCAAATGGCAGGCGTTTTGATAGTTATCATTAGCCCTTTAGTTGACTTCAGGCTTCACAGAGGGGAGGAGGAACAACAAAGTGAAAAAGTCGAGGGGAAGGGAACTGAAGAGTGTTTCAAAGATGTAAAAGAGATAGACACAAAGGTAGAGTGAAAAAGGTGAGGTGAGTACTACGGGAGTTGTCGAATATGGCACACAGTGAGATGATGGTAGTTTGAAGTCAAAAGTCCTTCCGATATAAAAATTGCGGTTGATCATGGTCAATCGATACCCCCCCCCCCCCCCCCCCCCCCCCACCCCTTTAGTTGCGTATCTTCAATAGGATTTAGCACTGGCCCCAACTACAGCATTAAAATGCTTTATAGTTAAATGAGGTAAAATTTCTTTTTAACTTAGTATTACCATATTTTCGAGCCTAAGATGGTTAACTATGTCACGTAGACAATTCATTTGTTAATGAAAATAGAATGGTTTGACATTAATTGTTTGAACATAAACATTGCGATGTCATTGATTTCGACAATGTTTTGTTGCTATGGCTATAGACAACAGGTAGCATAGTAGTTGGGGCGGTTTTAGCCACATTTGGGTACAACTAGTTAATTCTGACTGATAGATGGGGCTCAGTGTGAACACGTCATGACACTGCTCTCTACCCTAGTTGAATTTTGTTTGAACAAATTACTTATTTCTGTTTTCATTTAAATTATCTGAGCTCTGCTCTGTTAAGCTTAATTTATTTAATTCAAGTGGCAGGCTTTATGATAGTTGTCTTTAGCCCTTGAGTTCACTTCGGACTTCACAGATGGGAGGAATGCCAAAGTCACAAGAGTCGAGAGGGAGAGGGGGAACAGAAGAGCGATTCACAGATGTAAAAGAG